GTTGCTGGAGTGGGCAGGAATGTTCCGGTGCTAGACAAAACACGTTGGAAGCTCTAGAGTCTGTACTTATTGGTAACTTAAATAGGTTAATGTAGCCAGCAACATTACTGTTGTAGGATATGTTACTTCTTTCAACCTCTACTGATTATCTTAACTCTTTAAACACTGTTAATATGGCTCTTAGTTTATTTTCAAAATTTAATTTATCAGTGACAGTTTAAGTTCTTTGTGTGACTTTTGCTTTAAAATGCAACAACATTTACAAAATTGTTTCTATAATTTCAGCTTTGCACAAAACATAGTCAACTGCCTGGAGTATCCCCTGGTACGTTCATGCCCTGTAGAAGTTGTGGGCACTTTAGTCCATGCCCTTAACCATTTTCTGCCTCCAGCTTGTGTTCCTGCACATACTCTGCCTGATGACAGCGCTGGATAGAAAGAGAAAACAAGCAATAGTTCTGCAGAAGAATAATAGTAGCCATGGTTACCTAACATCAGCCACTGGTATTTGAGACAGTTTTTGTTCTTTTTTAAAGGTACAGGAATTATGGTAAACAAATTATGAAAGGATTACAAATTTTTTTTTTTAATTTGGAAGCTATCAACCTGGCTTATCACAGCTATGTTTTTATGACTCATTGCACTTATTGTCATGAAAACATTAGATAAAGGCACAACATACATCAAAGAAGGTACAGTGTATATAAAGTTCAACACACTATAAGTGTACAACACTGTAAGGCTACTTTACTTTTGCTTTCATTGATATGATTGTTTTGCTCAAAATGCTAAATGTTGACAAACATGTTTAAATATAATTAATTATATTATGTTATTCCATTGATTCAGTCTTTCTTGATATTGTCTATTTTATTACTTGTCTCATTGCAAATGTAATGCTTGCTGTATGGTTTTTGTCACTTTTGCTTAGCATAAAAGTGTATACGTGGTGTCACGTAAGGATAATATATTAAAGATACATTGCTGGTTTTATAGCAAAACTGATGATTGTATTCCTAAATCAAGTAAATGACTGTTGGTTTCACATTACATTTCCTCTGGATTATTCCTATGTTTAATTAAAAAGTTTTAAGTCAAGAGTATTGGTTTCATTGCACTGGGTCTATTCCATATGGCTTTGTCTCTCTCCACAGAACAGCTAGTCACTGAATGGGAGCACTGCAGAAAGCACTACCCCCATATCTCCAGTGACAGTCCCCAGACATCCCATGTAGTCAGTTTTCTAGTCTTTAAATAATATTGCAGATTTGTTTAGTGGTATTTGCTGTTGAATGTACATTTCTGGTAATTTTGAGGATTGTACAATTACTTTTTTTTTTTTTTTTTTTTATGTACGAACTGTGGTACACATATTACCACAGGGTTATGATTATTGTTTCCCCATTTGCTAGGTATCCTACCTAGCACTGTCACATCTCTGTTTACATAACATATTTCATTGTTTTGGATAATGTGATTCATGTTGGATATTACTGAGTTGTTCTGAAACATTAGAGGTGATCAAGTGTATCATTTCATGGCTGAGTATTTTCAATAAAACATTGCAGAGATGACCATCTTGTTTATTATTAGATTTACATTTAGGATATTTGTCTCCCAGATTAGTTTCGCTAAAACTAGAATGTGGAAGAACAGTGTTTAGGCATTCTGCACAGTCAGTGTCCAGCATCATCAGCTCCGATCAACTTTACTATAATTGCAACATCATTTAAAAAGTTTTAGAAAAGGAAAAAGGCATAGAAAAAAAAAATAAAGCTATATGCTTTCAAATCATATGTCCCCAACACAGTATTAATTGCTTATGACCCTTAAATTAGCTCATGAAGGTGTTCATTCATGTAGCTTCACCTTCATCATTACCCTGTAACACTCCTTGTCGTCGGGTCACCTGTTGCTCTCGACTGACTGATCAACTCCTTCCACCTTTAATGGTCAGATGTGATGATCTTCATGGTTGCATGGTTAAGGCATGTCCAGTCAGTCCTGTTCTGTATTCAGATCTTTCCTTGATCTGTCTCTTCTCCTCTTCCCATCTACTGAAACCCAGGCATATTGTTTTTGAGAGCTTGTTAGATCTTACTACATGTCCCTCTTTTCACTGGAGTTAAAAGAGGTTTATAGTTGCCAATGTGTTGGGTAATTATACACAAGAATGCTTAGGAGCGATCTCATTTCTAATGCTTGTATCTTCTTTTAGTTCAGCTGTTGAGATCCAAGGTTGACAGCCATATGTAAACAAAGTCATAGATAGTGATCTGAGCAGTCGTAGCTTAGGTTTACATGAAATGTTTTTGGATCTCAATAAATTTGCTGTTTGGCAAGGACTAATGTTTTATGGGTAATTCTTGACATGATTTCTTTTCTGGACCACGACCGGCTTCAGCTGACGGGCCGTGCTGCTGATGTCCCTGGGACGGGCTAACGACGCGTTAACACAGCGGTTCTCAAACTGGGTGCCGAGGTGCCCTGGGGTGCCGTGAGCGTATGTCAGGGGTGCTGCGGCAAAAATCAAGATAAGTCGGCTAAAAATTGTGAAATTATTAAAGCACGCATGTAGATACTTTAAAATTAAAATTTAAGCTGTCTTTCCTCGCCACTGTCGAAAATAGTTTATTTCTTGTTTGAGAACAGCTGCGTTAACGCATCGTTAGCCCGACCCGGTGACGTCAGCAGCAAGGCCCGTCAGCTTCAGCCGGTCGTGTCTTGACCCTGGGTCACTTAAAATCGATCCTAAATATTTGAAATAATTGATTTGTTCTAATTTGTGAGCTGCATGGACCTAAACCTTGGCAGGCTAGACAACAGTTACTGTTGCCTATAAATATAGGAAACAACATTTAATCGAAGAGGATTGACTTTACTGTAGCAGGTTTTATGTTGGCTCTGTTTGCAGTGACAGTTTCTCTACCAGCTGTATAGATTATCGAATCCCCTGGGTGAGAATTGTCATTTGTCATGAATCATTTGTCAAACTTCTGATTCTGCAGCGCCCGCTGGCCAGTCCCTGTGCACTCACGGGCCAGTGTGATCAAAAAACCTACACAAGTCTGACTTCTGCTGGTTCATTCTGATCTACTCCTTTTCTTTCCTAATGTTAGCAAGCTTGCATTCATGTTTAATCATTTCTTCAGCTTGTGCCATCCAAGACCTTCCTCTTTTCAGTCTGTAACCCTTAGCTCTGTCTAGGGCTTCATGCAGGAGGTGTTTCTTATCTGAGGATACTCTGAGGTATAACTTAGCTTGCAGCACTTTAGGCATTTATGTAAGTCGGCCGTGCCAAGTATATATATCACATAAATACTACCAAAGTATCTCTTGGACATCACAGAATTACCCACATGGGTTCATTCTATATGCACTCAAGTTTCATCAGCTGGCACAATCTATCACCGACAGGATCACATGCTGGAACATTGTGAACATCATTCTTTGTTCCATATCCATTGCAGCCATAATCTTAAGCACACGAGTCCTTTTGACAATTCACCGCAACTGCCTCCACATGATCCCTGAAGGACATGCTGCTTTCAAAAGTGATACACAGGTACCTCAGTTTACTTTCTTTTTTGATATTTCTATAATTAATTGTGAGACCTGAAACATCAGCTCTTACATTTCTATTGTCGAGAGAGCACCATAAAACAGCCTCCTTTTTTGGGTTGATGACAGCATCCATTTCTGCACACCAGTCAGTCAGTTAGTTCGTGGGCTGTCTGTTGCCTGTCACTCCCCTGCCTGTATGCAAGAACTAGCAATATCCTTCCAACCACTGGTGCTTTAAGTTCTGCAGTCCTGCTTTGATTTTGTTTGACTGTTAAAATATGTTAATTATACAAACTAACAATGTATAATTTTGTTCCCATGCTCCTTGCTCTTCAACATAGTTGAAGAAAGTGAAAATGTTAAATTCTACGGAGAAGAAAAACAAAATCTCTCTCAAAGTGGTTGTTATCTTTTATTAAATGACATTTCTAAACAATGGCAAGAACAAAAAAAACTATGGATTTGAATGAGTGCATATAATATAAATCTGAAAACTACTGTGCGTTCATACAATCATTCATAGACATCCCCTGAAGGTGACATAAATGTCTGTTGAGTTCAGACTTGTTTCAGTCATTTCTACACTATAGCAAATTTGTCCAGTTCCCAATGAAGATTTTGTCATCTAGTGAATTTTCACACAGAGAAGTAAGATCTCTAGCCAGTGTTTAAAGTAGAGTCCTAATAAACTTTAATCAGTTGTACCCAGTCAAGAAAACTGGGAGATCACTTAAAGCTGTTAGTGAACTCAGCATGAGAAAGCTATTGGCAACCCACTCATCAACTCCTGCATTAGTGTCTCAAGTGAAGCAACATAAACTTCCCTGGCTGTGGAAGATGGTGATGGAGCACTTATGGGAATGTCTCGAGTGGTGGGATGTCAGTTTTTAATTCATCTCTATGAAACGCAACGGAAACAGTTGTCTAGCAAGAAGATACATAAATTGTTGTGATTGTGGTCTTAAAGAAAAGGCATTAAATGTTCTCTAATAAGAATTTGACCAGAAAGACCAGCATGTTGATATAAGGATTTAAAAAACAAAACGTTACTTGGGTTTATGTTGCGTTCATCTAACAGAAACGTTATGTATCTATAGGAAAGCTGCATCAGCCAATTGTTTCCGTGGCGACTGGTCTTCCACCTCCTCATCACGTACCATCTAGTGGAACATCAATTACAGATGCATAGGTTGATGTGATCATTGTCCCTAACATTATTCTCCCCAGTAATATGACTCACACAAAATTTATTTTAAGTGTTTTGGTGAAAGTATGGAAAATAAAATGTGTTAAGAAATGTATGATGATAATTTTATGGACATAATAAAAAGAATACAAACATCAACTACAGACTCATATGTTTTTGTTTTTTTTAACTTCATTTCATTTGATGATTGACTGACACACACTTGTTCATTAACCTAAGCCTAATTACATCACAGTTCTGACTTCTCTGCTGCCTGAATCTTCTGCCATTCCTCTGGTTCATACTTGGGCAGGAATTGTCTAACTGCCTTGACGTAGTCAGCTTTCTCCACACATCCTGCACAAGCCATGCCTTCACCCCAACCGGATAAAATCTTCCGGAGATCTCCAACTTTCATCTTACCCAGCTGTGTAAAGTCTGGTTTGACATCTAAAACATATTACAAGTTGATGTCAATGAAAGAAATCAGTTGCATGCAACAGGGTTAAAAATATATGTCTGTCTATCTGTCTGTCTGTGTATGTGTGTATGTATGTATATGTGTATATATATGTGTGTATGCATGTGTATATATTTTTATGTGTGTGTGTATATATATATATATATATATATATATATATATATATATATATATATATATATATATATATATATATGTTTGTATGTGTGTATATATATGTGTGTATATATATATGTGTGTGTATATGTATGTATATATATATATATATATATATATATATATATATATATATATATATATATATATATATATATATATATATATATATATATATATATATATATAGTTTCCAGGCTGCATTTATCTCCCAACAAATCAGTCAGTCATCAGGTATTAGTTTGATATTTTTAATAAAGTATTGGATGAAATCAGTCACACACAAATGACTTACCAAACCGCAGTTCGCAAATCTGGGAATCCATGGACTTCAGCTGATTGCAGATCTTGTCAGAAGGGAGGCCATAACTCAAAGGTCTGATCAAGTTGCCCACAGTTCTAGTTGCCGCATCTTCAGTGGCCCCAAGAAAATAGCACTGTGAAGTCACACAACAAATCCTATCTGAGACATATTATACACAGGTCATTACTGATTTAATAATTCACTTTTTAGTAGAAACAAGGCCGGCAATCTTCAGTAGTAGTAGTAGATGTTTACCCCACCAGGACATCACACAAGCGATAAACAGCCGATGACACAAAGTGCCACCATGCGAATGAGGATCACCTGTGGAGAGTGTCCCAGAAGCCGCGTTCAGCCATTAGACCATATTTATGGCCAGGCTATTTTGCGGCCCCTGGCAAGAGAAAAGTAGGGCTTCAGATAACGAAAAATTTCATCTCACAAGGAGATGACTGGATTTAAATTTTCAGTAAACGCCGTCCATTTATGTCTACCGGCGGATATAAATAACTCTGAAGGAATCAAATTATAATGTGCAGGCAAATATGTATGTTTATGATGACACTCAGTGATGTCTACTATACAGATGCACTACCCCCCCCCCCTTTTTTTCCCGCTCCTTTCCAAGGTAAATAAAAAATATGTCTAACACTTTTGAGCCACAATTCAGAAAGATAGTCTGTTGTTTACTTAGTCAATATATTTTCTATTTCTCTGCGCCTCGAGCAATTTTGTCACTCGTGTTTAACTTTGGGAGCCGCCGTGGTAGTGTGGCTGACGTGTTTGCTTGCCGAAACAGTGGCCCAGTCCAGTCCACACTTGCAGGATTTAGCGTCCCAACTACAGCTGAGAGGTCAATCAAGCCTAAAACATGAGTACTAGACAATTTCCATCAACGTGTCTGACAGTAGCAGATAGTATGCTATCTTCTTGCATCTGCACAATGGCCCTGAGATAGTCATTTGGAAGTGTCCTCGCCATAGTACTTCATCGTGGAGAAATACTGATTGGGGTCAGTCAGATTTGATGCGATGACGATGACCTTGATGGTTTAGAATCTAAACAAGAGACAACTAAGAATCTTCAAGTTTCTGGGATTGTACAACTAGTGGTTTTTTGACAGTGTTCCCTAATTGCAAGAAGTATCTGAAATAGGTTTAGTCAGTTACGTCTGATATTAAGCATAAGAGATAAGATACTCTTTACTTTTGCTTTGTCCACTTAATGCCAGAGAGCGCTTATATATCCGCTTCGTCATAAAATACTTCGCCTGCCCGAGAAGCGGCAAGCAGCTTTGTAGGCATAAACTAATTCATCATCATCATGTAACAGGTCCTTTGCAGAACGTCGCTCTCATCACAGTCTGCCTGAAAGAAACTTGGTCTCTCGCCAGCTCTCCCGCCTCATGCACTTTAACATTCAAGAAGTCATTTATATTATATATATCAAGGAGTATATATTGAATAGGTATGGTGACAGAATTGACCCCTGCCTCACCCCCTTTTGCACCTCAAACCAATCAGATGTTTCAACAGCTGTTCTGATGGCTGCTTGTTGTTCATGATAACGATTTTCAATTAAATGCACTAAATGCGCTGGAAACCCCATACTTTTCATAATAGTCCACAGTTTGTGGTTTCGGACACAATGAAATGCCTTGCTATAATCAATAAAACAAGCATGAAGATCTTCGTTGTATTCTCTGCATTAGTCAAAAATTGTTAAAATAAACTAATTACATTTACAAAATACATACAAATCTGTTTTCCTTTGTTCCTGTGGGCTGATTTTTGCAGAAATGCCGAAAGTCCGTTTCTAGCTGAGCTAAATCATCGTGTGGACCTGTCGGTAACTGTTGTCTGAACTTCTCAACTGTTGCTATACAAACTGAAAACAAAGTGCAAGTAAAATAATAATTCGGACGAAGAAAATTTAGTGACATTAGCAAGAATTTACATATCCTTTTCCTCAATGCCGTGGACGTTAGGGAGAAAATAAATAACTACCATTGTTTTTCAGACTATATTCAAAAGAAGAAGTCGTATGCCTAAAACGTATCTTGTGCGTATACAAATTAAATATATTTAAATTACTTATTGCGTGAAAAGTGTAGTACTGACGACATGAATTCGGGAGGGGGGGGGGGGGGGAGGGGGGAATTTCGCAGTACTATTTTGATAAACAAAGTTCCTGAAGGTAATAGATACTGAGATCAGAATTAAACCGGTGTAAATAGTTTCTATTTCTTTTGCTTATCTCTCCAGTGGACTATACGCCCTCAAAGATGTCCTATCCTTTGCCCTTGCGCCCAGCTTGTCCCGTGTCTTCATCTCGTTCACACAATTTTCCCATTATCTTCTCCCCGTGTATGTTTTGTTTACATGTATTCACTTAACCGTATGGATCACAGACAGGCTTATTGAGTGTTTGCCCTAACCAACGCTAACGTCTTTTCCTAGCCCCTTGATTCACTGACATTTAAATTCCCCCCCCCCCCCCCCAAAGTTTAACATCAGTGGCTCTGTCAAACCATTTAATTACCGCTTTTCTGTGCAGCACTCTTTAACGGATATTTGTAGTGTATTTGTTACTAGTTTGGTTGTTCTTTAGGTTTTAGGTCCATACACAAGTACAGATGAAAGATTAGATCTAAATTGTTTAAGTTTCACACTAGTTTTAATTACTTTTGCCATCCCCTCTTTTCCCTGACTTCCAAGTACAGTCACAACTCATCTTGCCATTTGTATTCCTATTTAATTTAACACTATATGTCCTTTAAAGATCTATCTTAACTCATCATCATCATCATGTGCCGTGCCAGTTTGCATAGGCGCTCATGCATCTCCACTGATGACTATCCCTGGTTGCATGGGACAGCTATCTTGATGCTTTTTCCTTTATGCCATCGTTTTAGCCCATCCAGCATCATCCATCTCTCTCTCTCTCTCTCTCTCTCTCTCTCTCTCTCTCTCTCTCTCTCTCTCTCTCTCTCTCTCTCTCTCTCTCTCTCGGCCTACCTCTACCCCTTTTCCCACTGATCTTTCCAGTTGTCACGATGTTTTTCAATTCCTCTCTTTCCATTGCGTGGCCAAAAACAGTGTTTGTCTCTTTCTTTTTGTTGTATATAGAGATCTACTTTCATTAGCTTTTTTCAAACAATCGTTGTTAGTTACTCTGGCCTTTCAAGGTATTCGCAACATTCGTCTCGAAAACCACATCTCTGTTGCTGCCAAATTCTTCTTAATTTATACACTGACAGTCCAAGATTCGTTCCCATATATAAGAACAGGCTAAATGTAACATTTTAGCATTCTCATTCTGACAAATGAGAGCCATTTTTTGCAAATGATATTTTTAATTTTCTGAAACTCTGCCTACGCTTGACCTATTCTGTTTTAAATCTTTGTCACACATTTTCCATCTGTATTCTCACTAGATGACCAAACCATTTGATCTCCTGTTTCTCAGTCAATTTGCTGCATGGTGTTGTTCCCACAGTCTGTCTGATAATATTTATAACTCTTCTCGGGTGGTCAATTCGGATTTGCTTCGGTATCTCAGTTCACAGATGGTAATTTTTCTTAGGTTATCCTTTGATAATGGCCAAATCTGAACCTAGTAGCACAGTGTTGGTATGAATATGGTGTTTATTTTCTGTTTCTTGTGGTTCTTACTTATGGTTGGATGTCTTAATAACGGTGTTAGTTGTATATCAGCGCACTAGTTCGTTGGCAAATTGTTTCTATTTCCCTATCTATTCTCCTATCCTCCAATGTGCTTCCTAGATATTTAATTTTGTTTAATGTGCTACAGACAAGTACCATTCAACCCTTAATGTAGCGGAGTAGGAATTCTATTAACCTGCATTGCCTCAGTTTTATTCGTATTTATTTTCATGTTATTTCTTCTACAAGGTGAACACAGCCTGTTCAAATAGTCTTGTAGTCTACTTCCCTGGATGTAGAACAAGCGCTGATCGTTTGCAACAGTTGCTCATTTACTACGAGTGGATCTAATTCTTTCAGGTACTTTCATGATCAATCTAGTCAGTTCCAGCACACCGCTAGTGGATTAAATGGCCCCCAAAATATGCTCTAGATACTTTAGACTAAAATTATTGTCTCAAAAACAACATGAAGATCAACATCATTAAAAAAAAAAACGGAACATTAAAATATCCACACACAAAATTAACGAACATTCACTACAATAGGTGGATAAATTCAAAACTTTTTGAAACACCTTCACATCAGACGGCAGGTTAACAGAGAGATAGAGTCCAGAATCCAACAAGCAAACAGTGTGACCTATCCACTTTCCCCAGCACTGAAACAGCCAGCAATATCAATGGAAACTAAAAGACAAATAATAAGGTCAATTTTTTGTGCTACCAACATTGTGATACACATGCTAAACCTGTGAACTAATACAAGAACAAGAGTTAAAACTAACAGAGGCAGAGGAAGGCTAAGAAGATAATAGATGGAGTTAACAACTTGCTGAAAATCAACAATATCGCC